AAATGTCTGGAACTGGTACTGTGCGGTTCCGGTACTAGTTCCACCAGTTCAAGAAACTGGAACTGACTCGATAATTGAAACTGGAACTGAGAATTGGGTACTCAGTTTTGAAACACAAGACTTAACTAATATTAATAGGGTACCTAATTGACTTAATTGGTATTTATCATAAGAATATGATGAAACCACTGCGTTTGCGATTTGTGTTTAGGGTTTTTATTCGAATCCCAAGTAGCATAATGACATTCTTTCTCTAATTTCTCTCTCGATTACTCACATGATTGTGTGCCATTCTCATTCGTTCTATTTGTTTCTAATCTAGGTGCTAGGTTGAGCGTGGTTAGAAACTAGATTGTTTCCACTCTGTTTTATGTACCGTTATTTTGTACTCTTATATATCGTGTTCATGAAACTATAGTGGATTTCTCTCACCTGTGGATGTAGGCGGATTATGTCAAACCACATAAATATCATGTCTCTTTGTGTGGTGTGATTTTATTCTTATATTATTTATCTCAAAAGTATATTTTTCGCTGCATGATCTAACAAGTGGTATTATAGCCAGGTTACAACCTAAGATATGAGTTCATTTGAGATGGTGGATGCACAAAAGAGACGGACTACAACAAGTTCAAGTTGTAGGTGGAGTGGTTCTCAAATCTTGGCGGCAAAATTTGGCATGGTTACTGTGTGACTTGGATGCTAGCAAAATTGGACATGGTTACTTTGTGACCTGGATGCTGTGATGGTGGAGTGTTATCTTCGTCATGTTCATCGCTGTGATGGAAAACTCTTACGTTCATTATTGTGATGGAAAACTCTCAAAGTTGAAGATTGTTGGGATATTGTGGCTTGCTTTCCTATTTGCTCTCATGTGAAATTGTATGTCTTTAGGAAAGCTATTAGGTAAAGAATACAATTGTAAATAGGAATATAATTTAGGAGTCCTATTAGGAGTTGAAATATGAATCTTATTAGAATTAGAATATCTCATATCCTACCTATAAATATATGGGTGAGAACATATTCAAGGTTATGAGAGAATGTAAGAATACTGGGTATTTGATATATGGGTTATTAAACATCACGGGTAGAGTGTCTTGAAAACTGGGATTGTTTCCACTCTAGGTACTAGGTTGAGCGTGGTTAGAAACTAGAATTGTTTCCCCTCTGTTTTATGTACCGAGTTTATAGTGTTGTATACTCTTATATATCGTGTTCATAAAACTATAGTGGATTTTTGTCATTCGTGGATATAGGCGAGTTATATCGAACCACGTAAATATCGTGTCTCTTTGTATTATGTGATTTTATTCTTATATTATTTATCTTGAAAGTATATTTTCCGCTACACGATCTCCTAACACTACACTCGGCCATTCTCGTCTGATCACTATGATTGTGATGGTTTAAGTTGCCTTGTTGCTGCCCTTACTGTTTTGTATAGAACCAAAACCTCAAGGCTTCTTGCCGAAGTCTCTATTTCTATTTATATTTCTCTTTTGGTTTATAGTTCAAATCTTATTTTGTCGATTTTGTTTGCTTTGCTCGTCGATCTATTGACTTTGAAGTTGTTTTGGATGAGTTAAGTCAATGGTGATTGTGGCGGATTCGGATTGGATTGGTTGAGGATGTTTGCTGTTTCTAGGGGAATGTGAGGTTTCGATGTTTGTGTTCTGGAAATGTCGACATCTATAGTGCCTTTCGAGTGGTCGTAGCTTGGAGGATCTAATACGGTATGTGGTTGTGTGTTTGGTTTGGGAGAAAGTGAATGTGATTGGATGATAAGGTTTTTGGTCTTACGGTGGATGGTTATGTGTTTTGGATGAGTGAACAATACAGAATACCCAGAACCGCACACCCGTTCCGGTTTTGGTTCCTAAATCTTAGAAACTAGTACTATGTAGTCTCGATTTTGGTTCCTAAGATTTGAGCATGAGCCAGATCCGCTCACCCTAATTGTACTGGTGTTCAGAGGATGCTTGCATGAAAAACAATGTTAACATAACAGGAATCCTTCCTTCTTGTGTAAACAAAATCAGAAGGGTTAAGTTTAGTAAAGAAGGAAACTTTGTTTTGTGGCTAATAAGGGTTTTCCTGACGAATAATGTCACGGGCCCCGAGGAGCGCCTGGAGACAAGAAATTAAGGAGAGCAAGAGAGGGGATCCTATGTAAGAGAGTTGGGTCACATAAACAATAATTTTGTGGAGAAGTTGAATCGATCAGGGTCCACTCGTGCAAAGTAAGGCACACGTGCAGTGGTGTGCAGGAGAGAAGAAAACAAAGAAAACAAAAGAGGTAGAGCAGGTTGAAGATATGCATTATGATAGCAGAAGATTATAATATAATATTATATATTATGTTCTGCACACACGAACGCCATTTTACATTCACATTGCATATTTAATTTCGCTTGTCAATCTCAATTCTTACACATGTTTCCATCCACTTTTTCTCTTTCTATTTGGTGTCTGAAAAGTTGGAGACCAAGAGATTCATTGTCCTTTTCTATTAAAATACACCACATTATGGTCCCGTTGGAGTTTGATTTCTTTCGAAACTTTCTATTTTACTTCCCACCTGGCCCAAACTACATTGTCCTAACTCCTAGGTCCAAACTATTCTATTCTTTCATCTTTCCAAGCTCTTGTCTTTTCAATAATATTCATTTTTTTGGTAATCTCTCCATCCTAACTATGGCTACAAATTAATAATACTATTAATGTACCAAAAGTCATAGGAGGAATAGCAAATTGATTTTCTAAAATAATTTAAATTAAAATTGTCTTTTATTTGTGAAATAAAAGGAACAGATCAAAATTCAAGGCAAAGCCATAATAATGAATAATTTCTGATGAAATGGTACCAGTGAAGCAAATGTATTTATTTTACATCATCTTGAAATACTTACAGAAACATAGGGGACTCTAGTGATTTGAAAACTCTTTGGATGAGAATGACAAAATGAAAGAGAAGTGTTTAGGCAGTTCCCGATGAGTCTTAATAGTGATGATGACATCAAGACAGATCAATGATCCAATGAGCAAGTTCACATGGATGTGTGCACCATAAATGATTTTGTGCAGGAAAAACTAGTATTATGACACAAACATGCCTCCTTTGGTTGGGACCCTATGCCGTGGAAATAGTTATAGAGGCAAGAAGTAACCGCAAATGGGAGGCCTATCTCTAACCTCTATGCCTCTCTGATCAGTGAAACGTTTTTTCAATAGTTGGGGTCTTTTTGCCGGTCTATATCCCATATAAAGTCAGGTTTTCAAAGTTTTTCCCTTGACCGAGAGAGAGACTCTCTTCCCTTCTTCACTCTCTGCAGAGATGATGGTACATTCCTGTTACACTGTGATTTCAATAAATGTAGCGTCTGTCATTGGGTTTCCAGTTAATTAGTGAATTCGGGGAAGGTTTCAAAGTGAGAAATGACAGTTCAGTCTAAGGACATTCCTTACACGGAAATATGCCTCCCCTTCTTAATTAGTTTAATTGAGGTTTGTCTAAGAATATTGTGCAGATATATACATATATATCTTCGCAATGCTGTAAATATCTGACTCAATATTTATCGTCGTATCTTTAAATAAATGTAGCTAAAATATATATATATATATATAACTCGTTTGCTGAGGTTTTTTTTTTTAAGTCAAGTATAGAATTTATGCAATGTGGATTTAGATTGACTAATGACGTTGTCAACAATGAATGAGGTGGAAGCTTTTCAAGCGGAAGCACTTAAAAACTCAAAACCCTTAAACTTATCTAATTAAAAAATACTATATTTATAACCAAATCTCGTAACTTTCTCTCTCAATCTTTAACGTGATTACAAGTAGATTCCGCCTGCTTACTATAGATCTTGCTTATCTGATCAATTGAGAACTATCACGTTAGGAATTATGAAAAAAAAATTGTGAGATTAAATTGTTCATCTAACGTTACTATATCCAATTTCACATCCCAAAAGAGCTGAAAATACTACTAGAAGGTTCCTAAAAGGATCGTAAGCTATTCAAGTAACCTGGCGATAGGTGAATCCAGCAGCCTTAAATAGTTCCATATTACAATATAATATACATTAGGCAATCGGATCAGCTAGTATAATTTTAGTTAATTAAATGATTGAAATCTTTTTTTATAATACTAAATATGAAAGTATAAAAATGTATATGAGTTTTATGCAAAAATTGGATAGAGAGAGACAGACAAAACAGGCAGAGAGTTGAGGATTAAGATATGATGACGTTAAGGCAATAGCCTTTTCTGCACTGTTACAATTAGTTACAAAAGAAAGGATATACATTTATGAATCAAGTAATTGTTAGGATACAGGGTTGGTTGTTGGGTCAACTTCAGGTGGTTAACTGAAACCCAGGTTAAACCCTCCTCTCAAGTTAAATAACAAGAAAAAAAAGAAGACTGATGGAGACGGAGAGCTAGGTTATTTACTAGTGTTTGACAAGAGGTCTCGTGTCAAATTTCTCATATCTGCCCGGAAAAGAAAGATGTCTTAAACCTGTACAAGGTGAAGCTAGCATAAATCACATTGTGAGTTTTTTCTTGTCAATATAGGGAGAGACAGTCTAAGAACCTTCAACCCCAGCCCCACAGGAGAGAGAGAGAGAGAGAGAGAGATCTCTCTTACTTCCACTCGTGTAAGTGACTTGTGATTTTGTTAAAAGAAGCGAAGGAACGATAATCATATTATATTATAATAATAGAAACTAGTTTAATTAAAGGGGTCAGGTTCAGTCAGGGTGTTTAACTACTTTTAACGTTCTCTCTCCTCCCCCTTTCTCGATGAGAAGTCAGTGATTCAAGAAAGAAAGCCGTGTAGGTTTCTGTTAAAACACATTTGCTGTTTCAAGAGTTTCCTCTTCCCACTGCAAAACTCCTATCTTCTTCCCTTCACTCTATTTCCCTTTCATTTTTCATTTTTTATCGTTATTTTCAATTTTATCTGTCAATGAAGATGACTTTGTAACAGTTGTATAACAGCGTCTGTGTCAGTCAGATAGGAAATGAAGGCATGGCTAACAAGTGCGTTATTTATGCACCGGACACCGCAAATGGCTTCACTTGTTACTCCTCTAACGCTTCCTCCTGTACCCCTTCCTCAACTCCTTCGTCAGTCGGGATGATTTATGCAGATATGGCTTCTCTGTCTCTTAGTCCCAATTATGGAACTGCAGTTTCGCTTGTTTCTGCTTCTATAGAGACTCATGTTTGCAGGAACTCTGATATGGAAAATGGGAGAGCTTGCTGGGGTTTTCCTCTCATGGGTAACAGCTTAACGAGAAACTTTGAGGGACAACATAATACTGATGTTAATGTTGAGGGTAAGAGCTCTTATTACAGTGATGGGTTTGGAGAAACCAATGAGACCATAATCCACAATGTCAACTTGAATGAAGATTTTAACCCTAACGAGAATATAGTGATAAGCGGAAAGGAAACAGATAGTGGGCAGGCAAAGCTTTGTGCTAGAGGCCACTGGAGGCCGGCGGAAGATACCAAACTCAAGGAACTTGTTGCTCTTTATGGCCCCCAAAACTGGAACCTTATAGCCGAGAAGCTAGAAGGTAGATCAGGTAATTAACTAACTCAAAAACAGAATACCAGTCTCTCTCTCTCTCTCTCTCTCTCTCTCTCTCTCTCTCCAATTTAGATTATACTTTGCATGGAATTGTTAGAATGCAACTTTGTCTCATCTTAGTTCTATTATCAAAATTGAAGGTAAAAGCTGTAGGCTGAGGTGGTTTAACCAGTTGGATCCAAAGATCAACAGAAGAGCTTTTACTGAAGAAGAAGAAGAAAGGTTAATGCAAGCTCATAGAGTTTATGGTAACAAATGGGCCATGATAGCCAGGCTCTTTCCTGGAAGAACTGATAACGCAGTCAAGAACCATTGGCATGTTATAATGGCTAGGAAATATAGAGAACAATCCAGTGCATATAGAAGGCGGAAGCTGAGCCAATCTATCTACAAAAGAATGGAGGATATCCCGGGGATTGTCTGCAGAGATGCAGCCGCCAGAAATGAACCACAACCATACTGTTTCAGTGTCCCCAATGGAGGACTCAGCAACATCTCTCCCTTCTCTTATGGAGCTTTTAATGGTGGCGGTGGTGGGGTTGATTTTACCTTCAACGGTTCACCCCACACGACCAGTGGGCAAGAAGCAATCTTAAGCAACAAGGACCCTTACAGTGGGTTTTGTCTACAGCAGACACCTAGTGATTTCTTCCCTGGTGTGGACCTTATGATCCCTCCCTGCAAAATTTTTTTCTCTGTTTTTGCTGTAGTTAGTGCAACTGGGTTTCTGTGCAGCTTCTTATTGGTTTTCTTAATAGGACGCCTAACTCATTTTCTTAATCTTTTGATCTTGTCTCTTCAGCAAAAAGTATGGTTGATTATCTTGTGCTGATTTATTCTTTCGCTTTACTTTTCATTGACTGACGCAAAAGCCTTTATACTAAACTTTTTGCTTCCTAATTATTAAATACTTTTCTCCTCTGTGAATGTGTTATCCCAGACTTCTCTTAGCTTTTACTAGTTTTCTTCATGTGTATGACTGGTTGTGATTTGCAGGTCCCAAGAGCAATGATATGATGGGCATGTTCAGCCAGGTGAGATCTTGGGATAGGCCTATTGATGAAGCCCACGTTTCTGGTTTCAATCTTCACCACCATCCTCAATACTTGATGGCAATGCAACAGTCAAACTTCCAGCACCACCCTCACATTTTCTTTGATTCCACGGCATTTACACCTCAATTTTCAGCCAGTGAAGCTTCATCATCGGTAGGCAGCCATTTTGACGCCGTTCCACCACGCTTCTTTGATTTTCTCGGGGTCGGAGCCACATGAAGTTAAGAAGGAATGAAAAGCTAAAAAATTTTTTTTTTTATGAATCATCAAAAGAAGACAGGTGATAAACCATTAGAGGTAAAAGAGAAAGGATTTTTGTTTCAGTTGGTGACAGTGCATTAGTTTTTTTTACAAGTCATATCCTATATCGTTAGTCCTAGTTACCATCTTGGATTTTAATTATAAGTGTGTTATACTTAAGTATTTGAATAACAATAATTAAAACCTGAGCATAAAATTAGAATTTAATATGGTTGATTGGTTTGTGAAAGAGAGAATTAATGTATATTTATATAATATTATGCAAGACAAAAGGGTATCGTAGGTTATATTGATGATGGTGGTGATGATAAGGGTAACAAAGACAAAAATAGAAACTGAAAGCTTTTTAAAAACATCCTTTTCTCATGTCACTGCAAAATTCAGGCAGAAATTCTGCAACAGAGCGAGCTAAATCCAGCCTCCAATATTATGCATTCATGACGTAAACTGTTCAATATATCTATTTCTTCCTACATCTCATCAGCTGAATTTACTCAGAATTCATGCAACTCACATGGGCTTCCTATTCCCCTAACATTTAATTTGTCTTAAACATTTAATATATTGAATTTGATGCTGCAGAGTTTTGAGTGAAATGAGAATATATGTATTCATCCACTCATTATGTACAAGGAATATACATATATATACAGTATACTTGTGTCTGTCTAATTAGGATGAGTCCAAACTGTGAAACACTGTGCTGCATTTGTACCACGTAAGAGTTTTCATAATTATATATCTAATCAGACGGAATATAATGTTTTGTTTATTATTTTATGATGCACAGTGCACATCCAAGAAACAACATAGCTTAGTCAGTGATTTAATGTTTTATTAATCACAATATATTAAAGTAATTGTCTAGCTAACCTGTGTGGCAAAAGCTAAATGCACAGTTCACATCCAAGAATTTTGTTTCCCTTTCCCTCCTCTAAATAGCTACCTATATAACCACTCTCCTAAATGATTTTCCTATTTCTTCAATTTGAAGGCATTCAAGTTGTTACGACCCATTCCAATATTCAAAGATGGTGATTTAACTAAAAAAAAATTAACTTAAATAAAAAAAAATTAACTTAGACATATTCTATCAAATTTAGATAAGCATTGAGTTGTTTCAAATCACTTTCTATAAGGAATCGTTTAAGTGAATTTTAGGGTACTGTTTTTATGATAATTTGTTTTTTTTTTTGAATAAAAATACTTGGAAAGAATTTCTTGAAAAAGCACTTATAAATTGCTTCTATAAAAAGCATTTCAACGATTATTTCTTCTGTAAAAGGTGAATTACAAATTTATTTTTTATTAAAATTTCTTTAAAATCACTTGAATAATATTTTATTATAAAAATTCCATATATAACCAAATTACATGAAAAAGCTTCTCAACGATTTGAAAGCCTTACTATTGCAACAAGAAGAGGTACTACTAGTAGTTGCTTTTCATTATTTTCGAAACCAAAAATTCTTATATTTTCAGGAAAGATTGGTTAGACTTGGAGGTACTATTAATTGTGTTAGATCTATTTAGAAAATGCTGGCACAACTAATTTGTTTATCGAGACAATGACAATCTAAACTTGGCACAAGAAACAGATTCTATCTAAGAAACTATATTCTCTGCTTAGCCCAAAATCTAGAGGATCCATTATGAAATGTATTTGCCCTCTATCCAGCAATTTGAGGCTCAACTATGTTGATCCAATAGGTTTGGGCCATCTTATACCCTTTAAAAAGAGTGATGGTACTATAACCTCATCTAAAGCTCTAAATTCGTTTTAGTCCATTTAAAATAAAATTTATTCTAAAATTATTTATTTATTTATTTGTTAACAATTTTCTTTCTCAATCTTCCTCTAAACCTTGTTATTTCAGAACATTTCTGAGTACCTTATTTCTTTGCAACCTTGAAAAATGAGAAGCGGAGGTTTTTGGCTCCGTTCGGTTATAAACTTTGCATTTCTTTTTCATTTTTTTCTACCTTGAAATTTGCTAAATATTTGTTTGTTTATCATTTTCAAAAAAAATTAACCAATGGACTAAAGGTTTGGAATGAAAGACACATAGATACACTTTTTGTATTAGAAGTTAATATTTTAAATAAAAAATACCTACTTTTATATTAACATTTAATAATTTAAATAAAAGTTATATATTTTTTTCTATATTTTCTCTTTTCTCTTCTAAAACAAAAATATTCATTTCAAATCAAGATTTGTTAACACAAAATTGAAAACGAGATTCAACCATTGGTATATTTGAGGCAAACTCTTCATGCTGAACAAAACAAGTAATTTGAAGGGATTTTATCGGATAGGGTCAGTGTTAAGAAATTGGCTCGTTTTCATTTTCCATGAAGATTCTTGTTGAGCCCTTATGTGTTTTGATATGTCAAAACTAATCAAAAAGTTGATTGATATCTAACAAACATGCAAAGTTATGACAAGAGTCAACCAAAATAAAAATACAATTTTTCCTAGATGGTATGATTGTGCAGGAAGAAGGAACGGCCGTTCCTAGTTTCATAAAGTTACCCAGATGAACGTTCCTCATAGTATGACGTCATTCCAGGAGATCGTCCATGCCTCTGCCCAAAATCATGTCAAGTCATTCGCAATAGCATGGCCAAGCTGCACTACTATTCCAATTAAGTCAAAAGTCAAAGTATTCAAATTCAAGTGATTTCGCGATTTTGACAAGTCTTGAAGACTAAGCTTTGAAGATCAAGTTGAAGTACAAGTGTTTCAAGCGGAACACACGTTACACGATCGTTCCTTGGAAGAACGACATCGTTCTAGGAAACCGTTAATGCTTTTGAAAATTTCATGGATTTTAAGGAGCCAATAGACTGACCGTTCCATATGATCAAATGACCGTTTGCGATAGTGACACGCCATCGCGATGGTGTAACGATCATTCCATAAACCCTAGAGATGAGTAAAAGTATCTGTTATGTTAGGAACGATTGTTTGTGATGGTGGAACGACTGTTCTTCTAGATACTGTAGCTTTTCACAGGTGCATTAAATGTAGCAATGACAATTTCCTTCAAAGGAGAGGGAAAAGCAATAAATAAAGTGATTTTATTGCAAGAAAGATAGAGAGAATATTAGAGAAACAAAAGTCTTCTAAAAAACATTCTCATATAATCCCTTGAGCTACAAATCCAAATCATTAACTCTCTTTTGTACTCATACTGAAAACCTTTACGAGTATTATTGTTTTTATTGTGTGTTTAAGCCTAGTTTGAGAGGCAATCAATCACAAACTTTTATATAAACTTCTTGTGAGTGAAATCCTGTAAATCTAGAGGTGAAATCCTACCAAACTAGTGTAAAGAGCGCAATCCGATTCTAATGGAAGTTCAAGGAGGTTACCTTGAAGAAGTAGATATAGGAGGTTTGTGGATATAACTTCAAACCACTATAAATCTCTGAGCATTTCTTCTCTCTCGACTCATTTATTATTCCTGCATATTTATTACTTGCTCACATTTATTACTCACCATTATTTATATTTGGAATAATACTACACATACAACATTCTCATACAACATTATGTGGCAAAAGATGATTGGGTGAAAGTTTAATTTTAATTTAAAATCAACCAATCATATTTTGCCACATAATATTGTATGTGCAGTGTTACTCCTTATATTTGTTGATCATTAACATTGTCATTTGTTGCTTATCATTATTATTGACATTTGTTTATAACTTGTGTGGTTGGTGAAAGTTTTTATTCCGCACTTATTTTCGTTGATTTCTATTCATCCCCCCTTTAGGACTATTTGCCATATTTGGGTTTCACAATTGGTATTAGAGCTTGGGCTCTTGTGTATAAAACCTAACGGTTTTAAGAGTTAGACGATCTAGATATGACTAATACATCAACACCTCTCTTTAATGAAGGTCATTGTATTATGTATTACAAGACCCCTATTGTTTTGTGGTGTTAACTACACACAATGGAGAATTAGAATGAGACTTCATATTAGGTCCATGTGTAAAATAGTAAAACAAGGGAACTTCATTCCCATGGACCCTATTACAAGTCTTCCAAAAGAGGAAGATGCCCATACGACCAATGATGAAAAGAAATTGAATTTAAATTATAAAGTTGTAAATATTTTGTTCTGTTCTCTTGATGCTATAGAGTTTGGAAGAGTTTTAGCATACAAAACGGTCAAAGATGCTTGGGAAATTCTTCAAACACCTTATGAAGGAACAAGTCAAGTGAAGGAATCAAATATTGAGATGCTATTCCGTGACTGTGAGCTATTTGAGATGAAAACCGGAAAAAACATCACAGACATGTACAAAAGGTTTTCCAACTTGATAAACGACCTCAAGGGTCTTAGAAAGAGTTTTGAAACTCTTGAGCTTGTAAAGAAAATCCTTCGTTCATTGCTGGAAAGTTGGACAATGAAAGTCACCACTATTGAAGAATCCAAGGATCTCACCAAAATGAAAATGGATGAGCTCATTGGTAGCTTATTGAATTTTGAGATGAAGAGAAAGCTAAAAGAAGAAGAGAGCAAACCAAGGAGGGAGATTTCCCTTAAGAGAATAAATGAATAAGAGGAAGGTGATTCCTCTATGAAGGAAGATGAGATCAACTTTTTGGCAAAAAGATTCACAAAAGTTCTTAGAAGGAACAAAAGATTCAAAGGTTGAAACTTCTAAAGGTTCAAACCAAGAAATGAAGATGAGAAGGGCAAATCGAACATCATTTGAAGCCGAGCCATAGTCATGAAGATTGTCCTCAAGCCAAATGGAAGAAGAAAGACAACTTTTATAAGAAAAAGGTTCTTGCAATCACATGAAGTGGAAGTGATGACTCAAGTGATGAAGATTAGTCAAATGAAGAGCAAGCCAACCTTTGTTTCACAGCGAATGAATGTAATTCGAAAGGAGACTCTGAATTTGAGGTAAATGACTCTGAACAATTTTCTTTC